CCGTGCAGCAGGGCCAGCCCCGAGCTACTACTACCTTTGAGCCACACACGCACATGGCTTCTATGTTCATGCATGTCCCCTTCCCTCTTCTCCATCCCTCCTGCCTTCCCCGTCTACGTGGGCTACAATCACCCATCACCATAGTTACAGAGGAAAGACAGAGGCATCTCATCCAGGGTTCAAAAAAAATTCTCCACCCCTCTCTTTTGCAGGTCCTACCCCTTTTTATCCAACAGTTTGGGGGGGGAAGAGGTGGTGGGGTCTTGTCTCCGCTGCCCTTCTCCAGCTTCTCGCAGCATGGAGCAATGCTGTGCATCCTTCCAACCACGCACGCAGCCCTACGAACCTGGGTGAATCCGTTGGCCAACGAGCCTAGAGAAGTACCGGGATCGGCAGGACTTGCTGAGATGAAGCAGCTTCTGACAACCCCTCGAGGCAGCTATTTTGCAGCTCTCTCCAGAGGGTTTTGACCTCTATGAGGAACACTAATCTCTCTGTGCAAAGCTAACACGAAATTTTCTGCGATGCAATGGGCTCCAAGCCACACAGGGCCCAGAAGCAGGCACGTGGCAGGCATGCTGGAAACACCTGAGCATGCCCAGGCCCTCCGGGTAAAGGGAGCATCTGACGGCAACCTTTGTTCCTACAGCCCTCTTTCCTTCCAGGGACTTTGCCAGCAGCACAGGTGGTAACAGTTTTTGCCATCACCACACAGCAACCCCAATGCGGACTGAAAAACCTCTGTCCAAAAAGCATATGGGCAAAATAAAGACATCTGGAACAGAAGCACAGCTAACGCGAAATAATCTCCAATGAGATTTCCCATGCAGAAACGGGATGTGTTCCCAAAGGGATGGAATTCGGCGGGTCATAAAAGCAACCAAAACTAAATGCCTGTGTGTTTCTGATGGCTCGTACCTTGTCCCGATGGTATCAAACTGATTTCTGTGTCTTTCTGCCATCCAGCCCCTGGTAAAGATGGGAACATCTGCTCCCAGCCCAAGAGAGGCATTGCAAAATTGCTTCCAAGACAGGAATTCCTGCTTTCAAACAGACGATGACAAGCTTATTCTTGAAGAGAGGACTAGCTTCTCTTCTTTACCATCATGGGCTTGGGGAGCTAAAGCAGCTGGCTTTCCAATGTCTTTACAACACTACCCGTGTCCAAAGTGACACACCACACACCGGACACAAGCAGACTTCACCTCCACAATGAGCTCCACCTGGGCAGTTTTCTACCCTCATTTCAAGTCACTGGCAAACAACAACTATTGCAAGACAAGGCCTTGCTTACTGTGTCCCAGACCGGGACTTACTAGGTGCGTCTATATGTGCATTAATGCGCATTAAATCTAGTACCTCCATTGTGAGGCACCAGGAAAACGCTCTAGCAGGAGATAAAGCCAGACCACCGCACCGGTTTGCTCCTATCAGGAGTTCCTGTATCTGCCCAAATGCCTCGATACGTTCTTCAACCTAAACCCAAGTACTCTGTTTTTTAACAACTCTGCTCTTGGATTTATTACTATAGACAAGTTAGGTAGATACTTTCCATAATAATTAGCTGAGAAGAATCTCAGCTCTGTGACACTCGCACGCACAGTTATTTTGGACGCCGCTTCAGTTCGCTGTGCCAAAGGCTCCCAGGCTTCCACAATCAATCAGGTGACTCAAGCCAGTCACTCACAACTAGGAAAAGGAGCATTTCTCCCTCTCCGCCGCAGATGCCAGGCTGTTTGATGACCCTCCCGATACCACACCGCTCTACCAGTGACCTGCATTACCTGCTCCTTCGCAGCACTTGAAATCACTGGGATCCTGCCGTGAATTTTTAAGGTGCTCTGGCAGCACCGCGGTTGCCCTGTATTTGGGGGCTGGAGCAATGCAGGGAGGAAGAGCCAGCCGTACCTCTGCCCATCACTGCAGCATCTGGTATAAGGTGAAGCCCCATCATATGAGAACAGCAGTTCTCTATGCGGTCATGCTCCGTGCTGGCAGTGGTTCCTCTAGTCGGAAATATTGCAACCCTGGTAGTAGCCAGCATTGGGGGAACAGCGAGGGCAGGGCCTGGATGGACTCAAGGAGCTGGACAGGGTGGGGACGAGGGTTTGGGACAGTCACCAGGAATGGATAAAGCAGCAGCTATGAAATGGAGAAGAGCAGCAGAGGACACCCAGGGTTTGAAGGTTTCCAGAAGCAGCTTCAGGGGAGATGCTGCAATGGGAACAGGGGGGCTCAGGACAGGGATGAAAGAGATGGAGCTGCAGGGAAGACATGGGGATCGTGCAGAGAGGACGGGAAGTGAGAAGGGATAACCAGAAAGGACAGGGGCAGGCCGGAAGGTGACGCCAGGGAAACAGCCCCAACAAGGGTGGCAGCCACAGCCCCTAAGGGAGCCCTGCAGCCCTAGGCAGCCTCAGCATGTCGCTGCCCTCCTGCCTGGGACTGAGGGCTGGCATCTTCCAGCTCCATCTCACTGCATTTTTGGGGCGACACAAAGCTAATCAGGATACCACAACTTTCTGGTATTCATCTAGGAGTCCCACGATTCACAGGATAGTTTCCAGCACAATCCACACAAGCAATAACACTCTCTCTTTGCTTTCCTCCAGGTGAAAGGCTGCAGGTCCACAGCTCAGCCATTCCCAACAGGCCTGCCCAGGAATCCCAGTCCTCTTTAAGGGGGATTTTTTTCAAGTTTGTTGTCCCCCCCTGCAACTATTTAGCTGGTCTAATCAAAGAGAGCACATCTACCCAAAGAAACCTTGCCTGGGGATTTTTTCAGGAACTACTCAGACCTCTTGGAGCCGATCTACCCGGACCGCGTCCCTGTTGCTGTGTCTCCGAGAGTCACGGAGCACCCTCTGGATTTCCTGGAGCCCCGAAACGAGCCAGGGAAGAGGCCTCCAAGGTGTGACAGATTGAGACAGCCATCTCGTCTCGAGAGCCAGCACGCTTTCAGCAGTTCCTCTCTAGAGCAACCGAATGCCAATGCAGGCTAGACCATCTAGTGAAACGATAGCCAGCGTCTCAGCCCTTGCCAGGCATTTACAGCAAAGATGAGGACAGCCAGATAGCTTGGCCGATCCAGAGCAGGTGCCGTGAAGGTCACGCGTGCATCCCTGGCCTGGGTTTCTCTGGACAATGGTCCGTCACCATGGAATCCAAGCCTCAGCCCTCCGACTCCCATCTCGCACGCAGGTCTACACTGAGATGCTTAACCTTTTAGTTACTACCAGCACAAAATACAGGCCCATTTATTAATAACGCTGCTCTAACGGGAGCCAATATCCACGCGGCAAAGGTGCGGAGCCGCACATCGCAACAGAGCCAGGAATCGCGGCTGGTGGCATCGAACTGCTCGTTAGGCGATCGCTGCCAAACTGAACACGCAGAAGCAATCGGTACGAGATAACGGGAGGAGTGGGAAGCGTCGGTCATGCACATTTTTATTATTTTGCAGGTACCCTCCGCATAGGAGCCGGCTGCTTACACAATGATGTTACCTGCGTATGACGGAGGGAGAATTACTGCTGTAATTGTGTACTGGCGCTATTAAACACGAAGCATCAAGCAGCCGCCTTCGAGAGAGCAGGGCGCGCGCTGGATGCTGGCGGACCGGCGCTTTGGGGAGGTTTGCACCTCTGCCCCCAGCTTCTCTGTGATCACGTGTCCTTAGGCCCAGAAATGACAGCTGTGCTGGACGGAGAATGAATTGTTTTATTTTGGCCGACCCCGTTGAACACACTCGTCGACCGGCCCATCCTTCCGACGGAGAAGGCAGCACGTCACCTGGAAAAATAACCGCCTACGTCTGAGCCCGAGCAAACCCTTACCTTGCATGAGAATCCACCCGATACTGTAGGATACAAGACAGGAATCGAGATCCAGATCCAGATCATTATTTTGTAACTAGGCCCCAGCTCCACCGGGGGGGCAGGACACAACCCCAAGCTCTAAATGAATGCACTCTGGGGGTAGGTAAAGGGCAAGGTACCCCCTCTCAAATAAAATTTTGCAGGCTGTGTAGAGGGAAGGCGAGAAAAAGAAGCCAACTAGACGGCACGCAATCAACTGAAATGCACTTTGTGCCTTTCCCTTTCTCCTCCCGATAAGCAACAAATTTACCGAACAGGTAAAATAAATCCCATCAACGGACAACTCAAAGGGTTCGGGGATCCTGGAGCTCTGCAGCTAATGGATTCCGAGGGGAAGGAATTAATTCTCGATGGCTGCAAATGAAATGCCACAAGAATGAGCCTGAACAACATGTAAAAGCAGGGGGGGGAAACAAAGAACGAGAATCATAATAGCTAAGAGTCTTATGAAGAGCTTCATCTTGGATACGGGAAGATAATGATGCGGACCATTTTTCTACTAGATGGCAGTGTAGTGTCACACTATATAAAAGAAATTCTAGAAAGAAAATGCACTCTATTTCAAATGAATTTGTGCTTAGACTTGACTGCTCAGATAATGTGAAATACAACAGTCCCTCCATCGTAAGGGGACCTGACACGCATCCAAGAGTCACATAAACCGGTGATATCCTGGCATCTCATTTCTTGGACAATTATAGGGGGGGAAAAAAGCACCAACGCACAATAGCCACCACCTTCTCCTACATACAGTGCCACACGCATCCCACGCGCCAGATGATGTACAAGCGACTCCATACGTCACAACCGGACGTGTGTCGTCATCAAACGGATCTTTCCGAGCACGCAAAGGGGCTAGGAACAGCCTGCCTTCGAGATAACTGCATTTAAATAGCACGGCTGCAATAGCTGGCATCAGCAACTTCGGCACAAAGGGACTTGGAGCAGAGGAGCGAGAGAATTCACCCAAATTCAGAGCCCAAACCCAAAACAAGGTGAGAGCTGAAGGGCAAGCAACCTTCAGTGGCAGAAGGGACTCTGCTTTGCAAACCCCAGTGTTCGTTTAAGCCGAACGCAAAACCATACCCCCCCCAATGCACCTTTTACTAGACAGCGAGCAATGCTGTTCGAGGCAGAGGCCGGACCTCAGCACCACAGGCAGGTCCTCAATGCACTGGCACCTCTTGGCACACCCGTAAATCCATTTGAGGTCGGTGGGAACAGGGAAGCTCAGGACTTTTGGGGGAAGGCAGCCTGAAATCAGGCTCGTTTGGCACCCGACTTGAACAACAAGCGCCTCCATCACGCTCGGGCTCACCACAATCGTTATAATTGCCATAGCAAAGTCTGCCTGCGGGATAAAGCATTTCCCTAGGAGCAGAGGTGTACTTCGGTCAGCAACTCGAGAGAGATCGGACTTGTCACCTGGTTCCCCCCCATCCGGGCCATTTGAAACGAGTCTGGCCTGAGCTCTCTGCACTGGGGCCCGCACAGTCCAGCCGGGCACCACAGGACAGGACTGCAACCCAGGCTCGCCTCTGCACAGCACATCCCTCTGCGCGGCATTGGCTCGTAGCGCATCGACGCACCAAAGCGATGCCGGGGTCACTCTGTAACCCAGGGCTGACCACAGCCCCCTACCACCCCGACAAAGCCAGGACCTCCAGGAGCTATATGCTCAGGACTGCAACGACCGGGTGCCCAGGGCTGTGCAAAACACCTTGCAGAACTGGGGGTGGGGGGACACAACAGATTTTCTTTTCCTTTCAAGACCAAGCTGCAGGAGCGCTCTCCCCAGCCCCAACCCCAAAACACAGGCCAGGCGCCACCGACAGCGCAGCACAACCAAGCGCTCCCCCTCTACGCCAGCAAGGATCGCTGCTGCAGTATTGCACCGGGGCAAGGCTGGGGGGGTTGTCTGGAGCCAGACATTTTGGGGTTGCAAGTGGGGAGAAGGGCAGGGAAGGAGAGGGGAAGGGTTGAAGGAGGAGAAGAAGGGAAAGGGGATCCCCACATGCTGGTGGTGCAGTATAAGGGAGAGAAGGGAAAGAAAAGAGTCGTCCCCCCCCCCACCCTGCAAGGCTGGAAGGAGGCAGTACAAGTGGGAAGAAGGGGAAAGGAGGAGTCCCCCAAGGTGAAGGGAAGCAGAGAAGGAACCCCCCAGGCAGGTAGAAGGCAGTATAAAGGGGGGGAAAGGAAGGCAAGAACCCCCCCCCTCCTCTCCCCAGGCTGGAAGGGGGCAATACAAGGGGCGAGAAGGGACAGGAAGGAGCCCCCCAGGCTGTGAGCTAGGGAGGAGAGAAAAGCAGGCACCCCCCAGGCTGGAGGGACACCAGATAAGGGGCAGAAGGAGTCCCTCAACCTTGAAGGGAAGAAGCCTTGTGAGCGGGGAGAAAGGAAGGGAAGGAAACCATCCCCCAGGCTGAAGGGGGAGGAGAAGGGAAAGGACCCCCCACCCCACACACACACACTGGAGGAGCGCAGTGTAAGGAGAATGGAAAGAAAGGAGCTCCCGGGCTGGAAGGAGGCAGTGCGAGCGGGGGCAAGGGACCGGAGGAACCCCCCGGCTGGATACGGATGAGGAGTAGGGGAAGGGTGCAGCGAAGAAGCAGTGTGAGCAGGGACAAGGGGAGCGCAGGACCCCCAGGCTGGAGGGACACAGGAGAAGGGGGAGACGGCAGAGGAAGGGAAGGAACCCCCCCGGCTGGATAAGGATGAGGGGAAGGGGAAGAAGCTCTGCGAGTAGGGACAAGGGAAGGGAAGGGAAGGGCTGGCCCCCCCCCCCCCAGGACGGAGGAACATGGTAGAAGGGAAAGGATGAAGGGAAGAAGCCGTGTGAGCAGGGACAAGGGAAGTGCAGGACCCCCAGGCTGGAGGGACACGGGAGAAGGAGGAAGAAGCGGTGAGAGCAAGGCTGGACACCCCCAGGCTGGAGGGACACTGGGTAAGGGAGGGGGCAGGGAAGGGATGTGCAGGATCCTCAACCTGGAGGGGCACTGGATAAAGGAGGGAAGGGAAGGGAAGTGCAGGCCCCCAGGCTGGATAAAGATGAGGGGAAGCGGAAGGATGCAGGGAAAAAGCTCTGCATGCAGGGACAAGGGAAGAGACGGGCTGGACCCCTCCAGGCTGGAGGAACATGGGAGAAGGGGAAGGATGAAGGGAAGAAGCCGTGTGAGCAGGGACAAGGGAAGTGCAGGACCCCCAGGCTGCAGGGACACAGGAGAAGGGGATGGGTGCAGGGAAGCAAGGCTAAGCTGGAGGGACACTGGAGAAGGGACGGGGAAGAGAAGTGCAGGCCCCCGGGCTGGATAAGGATGAGGGGAAGGAAGGGTGCAGGGAAGAAGCGACATGAGCCAGGCTGGACACTGCGCAAGCTGGAGGGACACTGGACACGGGAGGGGGAAGGGAAGGGACGTGCAGGACCCCCAGGCTGAAGGGACACGGAGAAGGGGATGGGTGCAGGGAAGCAGCGGTGTGAGCAGGGCTGGACACTGGATAAGGAGGAAGGGCAGGGCAGGGCAGGGCAGGGCAGGCCCCGAGGCTGGAGGAAGGAAGAGGGAAAGGTGAGGAGGAGACGGCGGCGGCGGCGGCAGCGAGGTCGGCCGGGCTCACCGGCTGGGGCGCAGGCGGAGCTCCTTCTTGCTGTCCACCACGGCGGGCACGCAGTTGGTGAGCTCGGTCCAGTCGGCGTGCAGCCCGCAGCTCCAGCCGGTGGAGAAGCGCGAGAAGAGCCAGGTCTCCCGCTTGCCGGGCCGCAGGCAGGTGCACTTCTTCTGCCCGGCGCGGCACTCGCAGGGCTGCTCCAGCTGGATGTTGCGCACCAGGTGCCGGCCGAAGGTGGTGCCGCCCGTCTTCTGGATGTGCAGGAACACGATGAGGTCGTCGCCCTTGATGTTGAAGTCCACGCGCCGCAGCAGCTCGGCCTCCGAGAAGTTGAACTTGGCGGCGAAGCGCGCGGGGCTCTCGTCCTCCGCGCCGTACGGGTCGGCGGGCGCGGCGGCGGCGGCGCGGAAGGGGCGCAGGCGGAGCAGCTGGCACTCGCTGCCCGGGCACACGTACTGCAGCACGATCACGGCGAAGAGGAAGAGCATCACCAGCGCCAGCAGCAGCTTGTTGCAGCGCTCCTCCATCTTCGGG